TTTTGTATGCGTGCAACTGATTGTTCCTGCCTAAGTGGAGTACTTTGCATTTGTCCTTATTGAATTTCATCCTATTTACTGCAGACCATTTCTCCAGTTTGTCCAGATCATTTTGAATTTTAATCCTATCCTCCAAAGCACTTGCAAACCCTCCCAGCTTGGTATCGTCCACAAACTTTATAAGTGCACTTTCTATGCCATTATCTAAATCACTGATGAAGATATTGGACAGCACCGGACCCAGAACTGATCCCTGTGGGACCCCACTTGTTATGTCCTTCCAGCTTGACTGTGAACCACTGATAACTACTCTCTGGGAACAGTTTTCCAATCAGTTATACACGCACGTTATAGTAGCTCCATCGAGGTTGCATCGCCCTAGTTTGTGTATGAGAAGATCATGTGAGACCATATCAAAGGTCAAGATATAGCACATCTACCGCTTCCTCCTCCTCCACTAGGCTTATTACCGTGTCAAAGAAAGCTATTAGGTTGGTTTGACAGGATTTGATCTTGAAGGGGATAGTGGTTTGATCAGTCAACGGCGAGGAAATGAACATTTGCTGCAAGTCTTGCAGCAGCTGGCCAGCCTCCGCACTGTCCCAGATCCATGCTCCCGGATCAGAACCTGCTGCCCCTTCCCCGTGTCGTCAAGAGGGAAAACATGGAAGTGGCAGGCGAACCAGCAGCTCTTTCCCCCGGAGGGATTTGGAGCGGAGGGGCGCTGCTGGACCAATAGATGAGGGAAATCTTTGATCACGTTGTGCTGATTCCTTTCACAGCCCCTTGGCAGCTGGGCTGCCCCACTGAGATGTGCTAAATATGCCTCACTGTTAACATCTGCATGGCTGGATTAAGGGTGGAAGGAATGCACAGGGCAGCTCTGCTTGAGAGCGGGGCCTATATGGATTAACTGCTAGACTGGCTCCTGTCCCCTATCGGCCAAGCTTTCGGGTGCTGGAATATGGACATGGAAGGGGAAGGACTTGGGTTTGTGAGCTCTGTGGCAAAGCAGCCCATCCTGACTGGCTTCCAGGTAACGCAGTTCAGCTCACCTCCCCGCTCTCTTCCCTTGTCACGGGTGTGAAATAAAAGCAGCCACTCTCCTTGCCTGATGACTCTCTCCCGGGGGCAGGGCTCCAAGAACACGTCTGTCACGAGAGCGCAGGGGGCTCCCAGTTCATCACGCTGGCCAACAAAGAGCAGGCGAGACCCAGAAAGGCAGGGAGATCGCACCTGCTGACACAGCAAGGTTGCAGGGACTGTTAGCTTTAGGGACTGCTCCCACGATCTCCCTGCTGCGTGGAGCAATAAGACTAGGGCTGGTCCCATAATGTTGAGTTCTTTCAGCCAAAGACCTCCCAATTCTCCCAACTCACTCTTGCTCCCGCCAAACCTGGTCTGAGATCCATTAGAGAGCCCGGCCGGATGGTTAGAGTAGGGGGTGGAGCCAGAAGCCCTGTGCCACTGAACCTATGACCTCAGCAAACTCACTTGATCTCTCTAACTCCATTTCCGTCTCTGTAAAATGGGACTGGTACCATGATCACAGAGGCTGGAGCTACTGAAGTCATGTGTCGATTGTATCCTGGCCACATTTTATAATTGCAAGAAACATCTAATAACGAGAATGGGTCAAATGTTTTCATTTCAAAACGCTTTTGACACAAAAATGCCTTTTTGTTGAAAACGAAAATTTTCATGGAAAATTTGTTATCTTTACCAAGTTTTCCATTTTTTTTTTAAAATAACTGATTTTTTCCCAGTCCTTCTCCCCAGAGATGCTAGTTTGGTAAGGCATGAAGCTGGGAATGGGCGACAGGGGATGGATCACTTGATGATGACCTGCTCTGTTCATTCCCTCAGGGGCACCTGGCACTGGCCGCTGTCGGAAGACAGGACACTGGGCTAGATGGACCCTTGGTCTGACCCAATAGGGCCAGTCTTATGTTCTTATGAGAGAAAGGCAAAGCATTAGTATTTAGAGATGGAGCACGCTGAGGGACAGATGCTAAGTGAGGTTAGGCCGGATGGCAAGTCAGTGGCCGAGCCAGGAACGACTGATCACTAGACAACATGCCCGGGCCCAGATCCTCAATGGGAGTTAGAGGCCTAAATACCTTTGAGGATCTGGGCCCCTGTGCTTATGAAAGAGAGCTGGAAAGTGCCACTTGAAAGCTGGCTTCTCCCACATCATTTATGACCCTTAACTGCCTCTGCTATCCCTTGGCCTCTCGGAGCAGCTGCCGTTTGGCAGCAGCTTAGCAACAGGAAGAGAAGTTCAAAGATAGGGATCAAGGTGAAACCACCCAAAATTAGCCATTGGGTCTCTGAATAAATAGAATCATGGAATCTCAGGGTTGGAAAGGACCTCAGGAGGTCATCTAGTCCAACCCCCTGCTCAAAGCAGGACCAATCCCCAGACAGATTTTTGTCCCAGATCCCTAAATGGCCTCCTCAAGGATTGAACTCACAACCCTGGGTTTAGCAGGCCAATGCTCAAACCACTGAGCTATCCCCCATAGCGCATATGTGGACTAATGACTCCTGCCCACTATGCCACTTCTTCCCCTCTCCCCAGTGCATGGTAAAGGGAAGAAACCAGCAAGGATTAGCTAGAGTGGAAGGAGGCTACCTCCCCTGCCTTCCCCGGGACCCCAGAAGGGTTGGCTCAGCTAAGAATGATTTGGCCTAAGTTACACACAAATAAAGCCGACCCCAGGCCTGACCAATCCGTGCCCAATCGCACCGTGAGGTGCACCTAGTAATAAACCACTGATTGAGCAGCCCGGAGCGTCAGGAAGAGACTCCCTTGAGGGACGCTTTCCCGATGGGGGAAGTTTCATTCCCAGCCTTCATGTATCTCATCAGCCGTGCGACATGGAGAAATTGGGCCATTAAGCTTCATTTGGACATGTAGTTACTGCGAGAAACTTAGCCAAATGTCTGCACGGTTTATTTTGATAAACTGCTTGGTGCCACGGAGCGAGGAAGAGCTGGTGACAGGGGAACTCACGAGCCCATGCGTCAGCTGTGTCTAATGAGGAACACGGTAGGGAGACAGCAGGATTCAGGAGAGGTTGGTTCGCTTCCCAGCTCTGCTAGACTCCCTTGTGTGAACCTGGGCAAATCACTTAATCTCTTTGGGGCTCGGTTCTCTCTTAGTATGGCTACGGAGCGAGGCCCTCCCACTCAGAAAGCATCGGTAACCCCAGCTCACTGGTGGAAGGTGACAAAGCGCTTGAATACGCTTTGACTTGGTGGAAAGCAAGACTGGAGGCAGATTTCAATGGAGCAGCTGCTACAGAAGGGAGTGAATGAAGGGTTTCATTAGGCATGGCTCTGGAGCAAGAAAGGGTAAGTCTACACTGCAAAACAAATCCCGTGATAGTAAATCTCAGAGTCTGGGTCAGTTGACGCAGGCTCACGCTATAGGGTTAAAAATAACCGCGTCGATGCAGGGGTGCGGGCAGGAGCCCAGGCTCTGAAACCCTCCCCCGTCCCAGATTTCAGAGCCCGGGCTCCACACATCTACATGGCTATATTTAGCCCTGTAGCACGAACCTGAATCATCTGCCTGGCTCTGAGGCTCGCTGCCGCAGGCCTTCTCTTGCAGCGTAGACGTACCCTTACTCTCCGCAGGGTTTCATGTTACAGGGCTCAGGCTATTGTGGCTAATCTCGGGTTCCTAGGTCTCCCCACCTCCCACGGCACTGGTCTGGTATTGGGCCCAAGTCTTCCTTTTACAGCCGCCTTCCACCTGCAACACGCTGGCTGCTTTGCCTTTGAGCTCTGTCCTCCTCTCCCAGGCCGGGGCTGACTTAGCATCAGGGTATGATGCAAGGGCCGCTCCCTGCCAAACCCAAGGCTTCAAAGATTCTGAGTCAGGCCTGCAAAAAGCCATGGCTTAAAACCCCTAACTTGTAAAAATAGTTGGGGGACTTTTCTCTTTAGTTTCCTAGTTAAGGCTCCGTTAGGGGACATCCTGTTCAAGAGGCTTTTTCCCATGTGGGCGAGGAACTTGCTCTTACTTTAAATGAAAGCTGAGATTCTCACATGACTCCAGAAACTGGGGCTTTTAAGAACAACACTAACTGTCACCAGAGCTGGCAACGCTGGGATGCTGTGGGCTCAGCACGGAAACTTCCCAACTACAGGATCGGATCCATTCAAGGTCAGCGCCTCCTTCTGAACTGAGACTTTGATCTGCTGAGACTCCCAAAGGACGAGGGGAAAGCCCACCCATCTCCACCTGCTTGATCCAGCTACGCGCCGGATGTTCTTTATTTTAAGCTCTCCACCCTGCCCAGGCTCTGAGTCAGTGAGTTAAGGGCAGAGCACCTGGAGCTGAAGGTGGGTGGGAGCCTCAAAGCTGCTCAGCAAAATCAATAGTGCGCTGTAATATAACTAGCAAATGATAAAGTTGAGTGGAACATCACGGTCTAGTAGCTCCAGGACACCGGAGTGGGAGTCAGGAAACCGGAGTTCTGTTCTCAGCTCTCCCACTGATCTTAGACGTCACCGCCCTACTCTGTGCCTCAGTTTCCCTCCTGCCCATCATCTGCCCAGTATATTTAGACTGAAAGCTCTTTAGGGTAAAGACTCTCTCACCGTGTGTTCGAAGACTTGGAATATCTTGGCGACAGCCTCTGGGTACTATTGTAATGCACACAATAAATAATGCCAAGCACAGGAGGGGAAAGGTACGTTCGCTGGTACGGGTGTTACGGAACATTTGCAGCCAGGGAACAGAGCAGGGTTTTATTTTGGGCGACGGGGGAAATGATCACAAATAAATCTCCAGTCACACGGCACCTTCTCTGCGTCTGACCAGCCTGGGGCAGTCTGAGCACGTTGAAGGTCCGAGATGGACAGAAACGGAGGTCTCTGGTCCATAGGTCACCTGGCAAGGATGCCAGTGCTTCTCAGGAGAGTTATCGGCTGCTCCTGCTGCATCCTCCAGCCCCCCTTCCCAAACAGAGGCACACCACAGCTGGGCGTTCATGTAAATGACAAGTTTATTGACAAGGACAGAAGGTAAAAGCTTTACCAACAAGTGAACACATCAGAGTGGATATGCAGTACAATGGAATGGCGTCGACGCTGAGCAATTCTCCTTGCCTGCCCTCCGGCTCCCCTTCCCACAGCCCACGCTTCACGGCATGCAGACACACACACAGCACAGGCCCAGAAGAGACACACAGACACCGCGGGGGGAAGGAGTTCCGGGCAGGCGAGGGCTTTGCTCAGGGTTTTGTTTAATGCTTTCCCGTGTTCAGGCTTTACAGAGGGTTTAACTGAGCAAGACTCGTGCCGTTATTCCCAGGGATCCTCCACCGCTTCTCCCAGGTCAGTGACCTAATCCGGTGCAGGTTCCCCGAGCGGCAATCTCCATTAGCCAGCACCACAGCCAGGGGAATACGGGGCGCTGTGCAGAATCTGCCGTCCCTTGGCAGAGAGAGAACAGGGCTTTCCCCTGCTGCCCCCTCACGCCCCCTCTGCCCGTCCCCTCCCATGCACACAGCTGAACTCCACGGTGGAAACTTACGAGAGGCCAGGTGCTGCTTCACAGCTTGGCGCCGAGGGGCGGCTCGAAAGAGGCACGTGCCTCGGCGCACCCAGCACTTTATCAATTACTGTAATAATTATTTCCGCAGTGCTCGCAGCCCAGCTATCCTCAGGGCTTCAGACAACTAATCAAACAGCCAAGCTGGTGCATGATCAAGTGCCTGGTTTCTACAACTCCGTCCCGCCTTCTGCCCAGCCAGGATTCATGCTGCCAAGCGATCTCTGCACCGAGGACGCAGCTCAGCTCATACAAGCGAAGGATGCAGTTGCTCCCAATCTTCACTCGCTTCCCTGGCTGAGAACTGGCTTCAAGCTGAGTCTCCCTGCCACGGAACCACATTTCATCCCGCCCGTGACCTGGCCTACCCTCGCTGGCCCCTTCCCTTCCCCCTTATTCTCCAGGGCCACCGTTACAGTCCCGTTCTGTAGCCCCAGATTCACATGCACCTCACAGGTGATCCCCGCCCGGTCTCGGGGTTCAAGAGCACAGGCTCTGAGGGTTGTATGTGGTCATGTTAAGGGAGTCGCTTCACTCCTGGGGGAAGTGCCATGCCAAGCATCAGCTGAGAGCAGTGGGGACTGCAGAAGCTGTTCTGGGGCTGGGTAGACATTCAGCTATGTAGATGGACAGATGGATAGAGCCAAGCCAGCTACTATCCCCGCTTTTGTTTCACCTTTCATGGGGTCTATTCCAGCGCCTTGCCTGTGACAGGGAAACTCCCTGGCTGGCAGGAAGCCCAAACAGGAGCTGCAGCAGAGAGGAGTAAGGGAGCCAGTGAGTTTCAGACACTAGGAACCCTAATGACCCAGAGTCTATTGCCTTTGGCACAGAAAGCCCAGCTCTGGCGACTGGGGATGGAGGGAACGAGCCTGTGAGATCACCTCACCTACAGCCCCCACTGCCCCTGCAGCAGTAGGGTCATCCGGAGCTGAGGGTTTACAGGGCAGGAGATTGCACTCAAGACTCTCCCCCATCACTAAATATTTTGGGTGTCACAAGTGAGGGGGGAGGTGAGCTGCGACTCCCAATCAGCTTCTCGGCGACTCTCCTTTGCACCCCTGTATAATGGGTGCTTTCTCCTCAGCAACTGTTGACGGCAAGCTTTCCAGGGCTCCGGGAGAAAAGGCTTTCCAAAGCCCAGGGCAATTTGCCCGTCAGTGCCAGTGACCCCAGGTGTAAGGGGGGCGAGGAGGGGCTTGGACTCCTCCAGCGAATTTAACCCAAAGTGCATAGCCAGATGCTGCCGTGTCCCCCAGCTTTCGCACTCACACCTCAGCAGGCAAGCGCTCGAGGATGCTCCCAAGAGAACCGTAGGCAAAGTGGCTGTGAACATCCTCTGCCGGGATTCAGATTTCCCGCACAGGTCCTTCAGCCTGGACAGCAGGCGGAGCTAGGCATAACCCAACTCAGCAAGCTGAAGCTGGCCCAGCGGGAGGAAGGCAGACAGGCTGTCGCAGGAAGACACAGGGAATGAGCGGGAAAGGGGAAAAAAGGCAACGACTGCACCCCATGCTCTGCCAAGAGCCTTGCATTCTGGGAGTCAGACCTGCTGTTTCCTTCCTCATTTTGCCATCTGCTGCCCCATTATCAAACCAGACCCTGCCAGCTCCTACTTCCCCATGCAATGAAGACCCACTTCCAAAGCCCAGGACCGCAACCAGGCAAGATAGCTGGGGCAGAGATTTCTGGGATGAGCATCAGGTACGACACACAAGTACGACCCAAAGCCCCATCCAACCCAAGTAGATGCATCTTGGGTCTGAACTGGCTCTCTCCACACGTCACTGGCTCCTCAAGGCTACGCTAGTTCTAGCTCACCTGCGTTCCCGTGGATGTTTTCGCTACTCCAGATCTGTTGGTTTTTTTTTTTTCCCCTTTTTTCATCTGGTTACAATACAAAAAAAACCCCAAACGTATAAAAAATATAAAATAATAAAGTGCAGTTTGTGTTTCTATGATGCCTTTGCCTTGTTTTAATGAACAAGAGACTTGTCTTTTTCGGGTTTTAAACGAGCCATATATTACAAAATATCAACTACGCCTAACGCGGTTTAGAAAACGCTAAAACATTGGCACGAGATGGAAAAGCCCACAAGAAAGAACGACAGAACAGTGGCGCCGGGGGGGACACGGGAGTGGTTGAAGCAGTGGTTACAAAGTTTCCATGGACGCTAAAAATATCAAACAGTTGTTCCCTATATTATTATTAGCACGTGGATACTAATCGCTACCTTGGTTTCTCGGTGCGTTTGTCTGAAATCCTACACATGAATACAGCTGCTTCCAGTTAGAGTTCTTTGCCTGCACCGATAACGGGAGGATCCGGAGTCTCCCTTCCTCCCTCTGCGGAGTGAGACATGGACCCATGCTGTTAGTTTTTCAAAATGCCGTCGTAGACCTGGTAGATGTACTGGGACACTTCAGGAGCCCGGCACTTCAGGGACAGCTAGGAGAGAAGTGAAGCCGAGGTTAGTGCAAGAAGGCAGCAGATAACACACAGCCCATCTCTACTAGCTAGTTTGTTAATCCCTCAGGAGACTCCACCCAGTCTAATACACAGCGAGGCTGCCACGGTGCATCACCCGCTCTGCGAGGTGCTATGCACACCAATGGTGCTGCACACAGATGTCTAACAGAGAGTCAGACTGGCCTAACATAGGTAGGCAAGGACAAGTAACACTTTCCTGTCCCCACCGTTCACGTTCTTCTGCCCTAACGATCGTCCACCTTGAGCTGGGTTGACTGAAGACCGAAGCCAGGACCCTGTGGATCTCAAAGCATGAGCCTCTACTAGTTGGGCTAAAAGACCATGTCCCTGAACTCTGCTGCAGCAGCAGACTCAAACCTCAAGGGGGTGACAAAGAGCCAGACCGGGTTAGCACAGGTTACCATTGTGTTTTCCAGGATACCAGTTGTTGTTTTTTTTAAATTTACATACAACTTCAAATATTTAGTCCCAGTTGCTGTCCACCAAAGCGCTGAGTTCCGCGAAAGCACACTCCCACTCACGTAGGGAAAGCTAGCCAATTTTGTGACAGAATTGGGGAAAATGAGCAACAGAAGATAAATGGGACCCCACCCTTACGAATGCTTACTCCTTAGCGGTATGATTAATAGACCTGCACCAATGTTCAGTGGGGGACCTGTACACTCCTATCCCACAGAATCAGAATTCACACCACATTAAACCAAGATAACGCCAGTGGTATTCGGCTGGCGTAGGTCAATAACCTTGAGAGGTGCTTTCCCTTACGGGCAATGCTAACCACCAAGCTGCCAATTCCCAACCGCAGACCAGAGCCCTGCTCGCACTACTGTATAACTAGGGAGCTTAACGCAAAGCCAAGCTTCCTTTTCAGCAGTATATTTTCAAGGGTTTTAATTGTTTTCCTTCCACACAAAGGGCCCCCCGGGGTGTGCCTTGAGATTCTCAAACCAGGAGAGAGACTCCATCAGCAGCGAGGAGAATCTACAACAATAAGCAGTAGGGAGGCAGGCCAGTTAAAGGAAGTAGCTACACGTGGGACAAGCAGCGCGCTTGCCTTTGAGTGGCTGCCACAGAGGCCAGGCCAAGGAAATCTCCCAAGTCTGGACAGCTGGTCTGTGCGTCAACAGCTCAGCATGGCACAAATCTAGTCTTGTTTACTAGAGGGGGGAGTGGAAAGGCGGGGGTTGGGGAGAATTCTGGCAATGCTTTTGTGTTGATTTCTCTTGGCTAATTCGAGTGGTAACAATCTCGGCCAATAAACGCCTGCTGCTGAGTCAGCATTAACCTAGCTCAGCGGGTCACTAACGTAGCGGTCATCAGTGGGTTCCCAACTCCTCCCAGCTCAGCAGAGATTTCCTTTGGCGCTGAAATTAACAGGCCCTGCCCCAAATGAGCATGCTGGGAAGAAGCAGGCTCAGATTTGACATAGCTTAGGAAAGGATGTGTGGCCTCCCCTCTCCGCCCCATGCCAAGAGCCCAAGGGTCTTACTGTGTAATTCGGGTTCCCAGGCTGGATACGTAGCTCAGCCAAGATCCAGATGCCGTTGGTGAGCTTCAGAGACTGGTAGAGCATGTCCTGGCCTTCCACATTCCTCTTGGCAATGGTGTAAACATTGTTGTTCTGCAGCTTACTGGAAACAGTGTCTTCAAACAGAAAAACACCTCTATTAAATCAAGTGTGCACACCAGACATACAGCACTACACCCCCAAATGTCATCTGTGTTATCCTAGAACCCTAGTCACGGACCATGGGCCCATTGTGCTAGGCAGTGTACAAACAGAACAGGAGTGCACAGACGAGGAAGAACTGGCAACTGCATGAGACAGTGAGTCTACGGGGGAAGGCGCACATTGGAGAATGAGGCAAGAGCAGATTTGGTCATAAGTGTTCCGTCTCCCTGGAGACCTCCCTTCGGATTTGGGTCTCCCTCAGGGATCACTCTACTCTAGGCAAGGCCAGAGTACAGCAAGGCCCGGGTCCCTTCCGTGAGCTGCAGATTCCTAAAAAAAAGCCCAGAACTTGGACAGGCTGATTTTGGACATTGTGCCCTGCGCTTCCGAGCCAGAGGATGCTGCTTGGTAAGAACAAATGAGATCACTGCCTAAATCTCAACTTTGGCTTCTCAGTCATTAACACAATTCTCTGCACCCTGAATTCAAACCCTTTTCAGTGACTTAGCGGGTGAGAGAAAACGCCTTTCCCATCTGCCTCCCGGCAGTGGGGCCGTGATGAGGTTTTTATACAATTTGTGACTGTAGCACTCGGGAGAGACGTATGATTTTACCTGCACATAAATATACGGCTGTAACCATGACACCTATTTCTCAGGCACCTTACAGCGAAGCAGCAGCAGCAGGGATCCAGAATACACAGCATCCAAATCAATGGCCCACACTGATGGCCTGTGGAAGCCAAAACCCAATTTAAGGGATGGGCTGGCTGTGGTCTTTTTGAGGCCAGAAGGAAGAAACTCTGGGCCAAAGAGGCCAAGATATGAGCAGGGCCCCTGTAAGTCTCATTCCTAAAGCCACACAAGCTGCTGACCTAGGAAAGCAAGTTCAGTACAAGAGAACGGAAGAATGGCCATACTGGGTCAAGACCATGGTCCATTCCTGCCCAGCGTCCTCTCTCCAACAGTGGCCAATACTGGAGCTTCAGGGACAATGTCCAGAACAGGGCAATTCTGGAGTGATCCACCCCTCTCTTCCACTCCCAGCTTTTGATAGTCATGGGGATCTTGAGATAACCACAAAGGTCCCTTGAGGTCCCAACCACTCCTGGCTGTGGGCTACCGGGGTAATTCCCTGGCTTTCCAGGAGGTTACTTACGGCAGTAAGTTCAGCTGATGTTCTATCTACTAGTTCACCAGGTGGTTCTTGTATTCTAGTCAACTTCCAGTTGGCCTGAAGATGTTGGCACAAAGTGGGACTGGAACTCAAGCTGCGCCAGGCTGCCAGTCCTTTTGCTCCAATCACTAGACCACATGGTCACCCTTCTGCGTATTAGCTGAGGGCGCAATTATTCACAGGCTCAGGAAATTCAGGAAAGGGAGGAACAAGGATGTGGCCTGTGTTCCCAGAATCGCCTTCCTGAGCAAAAGGGGGTTAGAAGCTCCTCAAGCAATGCATGCTGAGGGAGCCTTCTGATGCCCGTTTTGAAAACCCAGCTCCCTCCTTTGCTCCAAAACTGTTACAAGTGTTTACCGCACAGGTGAGCTGAAGGCACTCGGCTGATTAGAACATGGCATTTTCAACTCGCCCACTAGAGAGAGCAGAAGGAAAGTTCAATACCGTCTGTTTCCAACCTCACAAATTCAACTGCTCCCTTGTGCCAGATCATCCTACAGGTGAGGACGAGTGCGTGTGTGGGAAACGAATGGGCTGGGCTGTGTCGGACCCTGGTCAGTAGCTTGTACTTTCCACAGCAACCAGGAAGATGGAGAGGAAAATGCGAACTTGGCTGCAAGCCGCTGGGAAAACCCAGCGTGCCCTTTGGAAACAGTGGCAAATAAACCTCAAGGCAAGCAGGCAGAGGGCACTGGCCCAGAAAACTCACTACATGAAAAGGGATGGGGTGGTGGCAGGACACTACACCATCCACAAAGGGAGTGGGTACCTGACCAGCCAGCGCCTTCGGTCGCCCATGTTCACGAATACTAAACTCCAGCGTGCCACACAAAGGTTTTGTTTAAAGAATGGAAGCAATTAAGTCCGCACTGGAGCAGGGGGGGGGTCAAAGGAGGGGCATCTGAGCCTCCCTCCATACAGCAGAGAGCAGGGAAGGGGTCTGCCTTCGCATGCTGCGATCTTGCCCTGGAGCAGCTGCCTTTCTTCCTCCACTTAGCCAGCAGGTGGGGGCCGCAGCTGAGTTGCTGCAGAATCGATTACCCCTGAAGAGCCGAGCAGCTCTCTCTCTCCACAGCATGGGAGCTTTGAGTTCAGGCTTTACTCAGTGACGACCAGCAGCTGGACTAACCCCTGCTCCTGAAGGCCTTGGGACAGCGATTTGCAGAGGATGGGCAGGGTTCATGCGGCTAACTACCCAGACAGTCAGGTTTGGGTTTTCCGCTCTTCCTTGGTTACTATGGAAACTAGGAGAGGCAAGTAATTAATGAATTCCTGAGTTAAAACCCCTCACTCCCCATTTCCCCTCCTCCCCCATACGAAGGGCCCACCTGGGTTAGGAAAAGATGCAGAGCAGAACAGTCCGCTCCTAAGCGCAAACAGAGCTGGAACAGGCACGGAGGGGCTCTGTTACAAGCCGTATCAGCTGACCATTGTGCTGGGCACAGACAGGCCCCGGCCAGGGATCAGGAGATGACCAACACACTTGTTTCTTGTGCAACGCAAGCAGATTGCCACACAGAAAAATCTGCAGAGGACCTCAAAAGGCAAAGATCTACTAATGGTGGGGATGCCACATTGGGCAGTTGGTGCTGTCTGAAAGGAACATCAACCACATAGTAGTTGCAACTTAGGGGTAGATTCGCTTCCCATGTGGCATGGAATGGGTCATGTTTAAACCCTTACATTTAGCAGCTGCTGCTCCCTGGCAGCGCACACAGCGGCAGAGTACCGGCTCTATAGCTTCCGATACCTTCGCTCCAGTTACATGAACGATGGTTGCTACCAATACATCACAGAGGGCGAGGCACATCCTTGCACGGGATTGGCATCCTGACAGCCTGGATTCCGTCGGTGCAAACTCAAGGCTCTGACCCCCAACGGGGCACTGAATCTAATCACAATTGGAGCCCTTAAATCTAAAGTGTGGACCTGCTGAGAAGCATTTATTGGCCTCTTACTAGCAGCAAGCCTTGAAGATGCTAGAGAATTGCTAATTCGGCCAAGCGTGTCATTTCCAGACGGGGAAACTGGAGCTGAGCGGTCCAAGGTGATACCTGTCCAAGATCACACAGGAAGACAGAGCTGGGGTTAGAACTCCCAATCTCCTCCTTTTGCTGTCTTTGAAGCGCATCATAAGATCCCTGGACACAGAAGCCATCAGATGACTCAACCACTTATAACAATCCAAAGCAGTGACAACACAAGCCAAGCGTACTGGGGCTTGGATTGTCACTTGAATCTTTCTGCCTCCATCTCTATTAATACAGACTTCAGGATACACACACTGGAGAGCAAGTGTCATTTCCAATTCCCTTCCATCCCCAGGTAGCAGCTCCAGCCACTTCTCTGTGAGCAAGTCTAAACCAATGTCAGTTTCTCCAAGATCGGGCAGTGTCGCTAGGCAACAGTGCCAGGCAGTGCCTTGCTCAAGCAGGCCAGTTAATGCCATGCGACAGCGCTGCCGTTATAAACAGACATTTGCTGGGAGCTGGGAGATCGGCCTTGCTTTGAATTGTGCTGTGTGTTTATCAGTGAGAGGAACGGCAAAGCCTCGGTTAAGGACCACACGGAACAAGCAGAAGCTTGTAAAAAGGCTATGCTGACAGCGCGCAGACTCCCTTCTCTGCACCTACAGGACCCGATGACAGTGCAAACCAATCTGAAGAACGTATGGTTCCTTTAGCAGCGCAGGATAAGCTGCATCTGTTCGCAATATGCAACTTCAAATAGGATTTTGTGAGGGGTTGTTTTTTTTAAAACACGTTTGTCTTCCATACAGACAGGGTTATTTTTAATTGAATTTTTAGATTAAAAAGGTATGACAGAAGGAGTTTTCCTTCTGGGGAAAGCTCTCAAATACGTAACAGACACAGCCATCCACCTTTCGCATGCCGTGCATACTTCTGCCCATACTTTTTAATGAAAAATTACCGTTGTCGGATTGGGGGCCGGGAAGGAGGAAGGGATGAGATGCCAATTGCTAATTAAGGCCTCCATCCTGCAAAGACTTGCCTTACATTGCAAGCAGTTGCAATGGCCTCTATAGACCACTTGCTTGTGTAAAGTTAAGCACATGCATAAGTCTTTGCAGAATCAGGGCCTAATTTTATAAAGGGAAAATAAGATGAATATATCATGCTCAAAAATATGTGAACTGTGCATTTTGTAACACAGGGAATTCACACACACTGAACCAGATTGCTAATCACATCTAACTAGGTCCCGGATACAGGATCACATATATGAAGCTTTGCCACCTACTTATTGAGATGGGCCTTTTTTTGGAGTTCAGAGCCCTCAGTACCAGTCAGCAGTGAACAGTGGAAATCAGCAAACAAAACCTAAATTATTTCGTCTGCAGTCGCGCGCCCCTCAAATGCCTCCCTGTGCTTCTAGCGACATCTGACAGAGTCGGTGTAGCCAGTGAAGAGATGGGTTCAAGCAGAAGGGGCATCTGCAAACCTTGCCTGATCCCATCGGGAAAAATCACAGTCGTTTCCAACTGATGTCAGAAGCACAGGGCTTTGACTTCCGCTGCATGATCAAGGAGAAGCTGGGCTGTGAAGGAGACAATGCTTAAAGCACAAGCAACCTCATAGTGGGAATGCCGGGAAATGCCAGAAAAGGGCATGCACGCTCGTTTCTGAGTTTGCTCCAGCATGAAAGTCTCTTTCTACTTTAGAAAGCCAGGATGGGTTAAGATATTAACAACAATCCTGGAATCTCTTAGCTAATCAGGGTCTCTACTTGTGCATCTTTACGGAGACAGAAGATTCTGCATCATTTCAGTCGAGAC